CATCCCTCCAAGGCCAGCGAGGGCTGGGACCCTGCGGGCTCTTGGGCAGAGGCGATGCTGGGTGCCCCTTGCTGGTGCTGGCAGGATGGTGCCTGTGCATGTGTCGGGGTGAGTGTCCTGGGGATGCTGCAGCCACCCGTGGCACCTGAGCACCAGGGCAGGGTGGGCAGGGACCAACGCTGCTGGACGTGCACTTACGGCTGAATATTGCTGGCAATTATGATAATGGCTGGGAAATCCAAACCTGACATCTTCCTCACGGATGATGAATAAGCTGTCTGACTCCTGTTCATTTTTTATTCAGAACTTCAGTGCTGGCTAATCCTGAGCTCCCAGCGCTAAATGCTAATGAGGAGCGCGTTGCCTGCCTCCCATACTTAACAGCAGAGCAACGCCTGGGATCAAGGGGGTTAAGTATTGAAATTGTCTCGTGCATTAAATAATTAGTAGACAAACAGATTGACTTCTCCAGCCATCACCAGCCCCATCTGTTTCCTGTGCCTTTGCTCCCTCTCTCTGTGCTTGATCAGATAATTGGCCGGGGCCGCAGCGTGGCCCTGCTCTGTGCTGGACAGTTTCTGTGTGTCGGGGGGGCAGAGCGGGGCTGCGGCTCTCCCCGAGGCTGGCTGCAAACTGAGGTGCCTCCAAATGGCAAGTACACGCAGGGATGGAGCTGGGGGTGCCCACCATGATCCCCTCTGAGCCACCGGGCTCCTTCCAGCTGGAAGAGAGGAGCTGAGGGCAGAGACCCGGAGAAATAATTCCGCCACGCTTCAGTCCGGCCTGCAGCCACGCAGCACGAGATACAGGCTGCGGGGAGAGCTTTGAGAGGCCATTTGCTGCACAGAGATGCTGCTGTAAATGGTCCAGATGGGGGACTGAAAGCTTTTATTCCCTTATTTCCTTTTCGTTGCTGATGCTTGAAGGTTTCCTATAATTGCTTCCCTGTTTTTACTGCTCTGTGGCTTTTCTGAAATATTTTTGTTTTAATTACAATATTGATTTAGATACAGCGCTAAAAAAGACCCCTGAAAAAGTTGATGAAAAGCAATTACCAAAGAGCACTGTAATGGAAAGGAGCCCCACGTGGGGAGCCAGCCCAGCCCCAGCAGTTGTTGTTTGGGAGCCCTGGGGGGAAGCACCCGGCCAAAAAAACACGAGGGGTTGGGGCTGGGCAGGACACTGCCCCCTGTCCCGCAACAAGGAGAGGAGTTTGTGACCCAGACCTCTTGGCATACCATGCCCAGATGCCCAAAACTTGCTCAACTTGAGATGTGAGGTGCCACGAAGCGCCCCACTGCTTGTCCCTGTCACCATTTCCTTCGGTGGCCCAAGGGTTGGGACCACTGAGGCTCGTGGCACCGAAGGGGATGTGAGCACAAAACCTCCCTGCATGTGGTGTAGGGAAAGCACGGGCGACCTTTTGTGCTGTCTTTTTTTTTTCCCCCTCCGAAGGCTCTCCTGTCAGGCTGTTACCATGACAGACAAGTATTCAGCCGCGTGCGGGTGACGCGGGTGGTGGGGAGAAAGGCAGGCATTGAGAGAGCTGAATGTTATCTTGTCAAGGTAATGAACGAGAGGAACCCGAGGCGTGCCATAAAGAGGAAGTTGACTTTTTTTATAAAATATATAAGACATATTGCTGGGAAAACTCTATTAAGAATTGTAAAAGGTGAAAACCTTTCATCCAGTTGACTCTTGAGGAAGGTTCCTTGGCACAGAATAGATAAATAGAGGCTTTCGCCCTCAGCTACCCTAGCATGAAAGGGAAGCCTTATGAATACTCACCAGATTAATGAGACAGAGGACTCATAAATATGTCAGAAGACCCACAATAGCTGGAGATTAAATAGATGCCTCGTTGGGATGCGGATTAATATTTGTGAGGCCAAGGTGTCCCCGTGGGTGGCTGTGCTGGGCAGGGTGCCCTGTGCCAGGGCCCGGCCTGGAGCGAGGAGCTCGGCCTCTCATCACCCTTCCTGGCCGGGTGCTGGAGGAGGTGGCCTCTGGTGTCCCCCCGTGGTGACAGGGGCTGCAGAGGAGCCAGGCCTCACCTGATCTTCTGCCTCCCTTCTGGACACCCAGGAGTGATTTTTCTTGTGCTCTTTCATCCTACAACAGCCCCAGGGAGGCTCTCAACAAGCATCTCCAAGGTTGTGACAGTGCCCACAGCACCCACCTTCCTCCCATCTTCCTCCTAGGTACTGAATTCAGGCCTAAGAGAGGAAAGGGATCCTAAAAGGTGGCATTCACAGGGGTGAAATCAGCTCAGAAAGTGCCGTGATGTTCACCCAGGCCTTCGTATGGGTTAATGATAAAGATGGAGATCGAGCCAGCTGAAGGTTTCGTCCTGCTGTGCTCTCTTCTTGTGGGCTGGAGGCTCTGGAAGATACTGGGTGAAGGAGTGCAGCGTCCTAAGGGTAATTGCGTTGTGCTTACTGGGCTGCACAGCCTGGCTGCGGTTCCCAGCTCCAAGCAGGGGGTGGGAAGGGGTGGGAAGAGCCCCCAACACCCCACACGTCCCCATGGGGCTGGGTGCTCGGCAGGGACGCAGGGACACTGCCTCCCCCTGGCATCCTGTCATGGGGATGGTTTGGGGTGAGCATCCCCCTGCACAGCCCCAAATTCCTGCTTCCTGGAGGACGCCCCCAGTGTGTCCCTGCCGCGGTGATGCCCACCCCTGTGGGGAGGGATGGATGTGCTGGAGCTGCCATCCTCTGTCATTGTCATGGGAACGAGGAGCGGTAAACAACAGGAAGCATCCCCGAAAAGCCGCCTGCCAGGCGGGCTGTGCCGGCAGGAGATGATTCAGGGAAGTGCTGACACTCGCCAGAAAATGATGCTGCAGCTTCCCTGGCACTGGTGGGGAGCAGCAGCAAAGGAGGGGGACCCAAATGTCCCCATCCCTGATGGCATCTTGTCCTGCAGCAGCTGGACCAGGTGGGAATCTGGGGCCACCTTGTCCCTTACTGTCACACCCAGCCTGGCCTTGAATGGAGGAAGGGACCTGGAGCAATTTTGGCCAAGATGTGCACCAGGTGATGCCACCAGCAGCAAGAGAACTGTAGCAATGCTCACACAGCATCCTGCCGAAATGCCGCCCCACAGGGTCACTTGCAACCTCGAAATGGGCCTGGGGAAAACATCTGCATCAGTGCTGGTCCTCAGAGAAGGTTTGGGGTGGAGAGGCCACTTCTGTGGGGTTTGGGGTCAAAAAGAAGTGTGTCTCCTCTGTTAAGTGCCCAGGCCTGTACTACATGGAAAAGCTTTTAAAATGATGATTGGATGTTTTGTGATGTGATGAGGTCTCATTCAGGAAGCATTGATTTGGGGAATGCCTCACAGGAGGTCTGCAGTGATGCTCAGTGCTCTGCGTGTCCCACCTGTGCAGCCTGCAGCCCTCCCAGGCTTCAGATGATGGATGGCACCTCTGCCTCGCTCCCTCTCTCACCGATCCCGGTGTTGTTTCGTTGGGTACAGCTGCCAGCAGCAAACAGCAGCTTTTCCCCTGTGAATACCAATGTATGGGAGCCCAGCATGGGACGTTCAGCTCAGCAGCACCGCACCAAAGGTGGTGTCCCCAGGCTCTGACAGCGGTGAGCTCAAACTGCAGTCAGCATCTAGCTGCTGTTAGCAGCACCGTTATTTATTCATGATGGTTCTTGTGCTCATCACACTTGGGTGCGATGTGGGCATCACCTGTCAGCCCCACTCTGAGCCCGCTGGCACAGCTCATCCTCTGCCCTGAGCACCCTGATCCAGCCTCTCCGAACCACCCCACAGAACCTGCTGCTCATTTAATTGACAGCAGTGTCCTTTGTAACTTTCAAACACCACCACGTAGCCTCCTCGGGCATGCAGATGTAAGGGTCCTTGTTTTGCACGGTGTGTGGTGAAAGGAAAGTAATGGATGTCCCCGGCTTAATGGTCTGAAAGTCTTTCTTGCTGCACAAAAAAAACACCCTAGCGTCCCCAAATCCATTTTCATTTATAACATTATGAGCAATTCTACTGGCAGCAGTTTTTCCTTCACATATATACTTATTTGGGAGAGAAATTCCCTGTCCTAGAATAATGTTCTTGCTTGGATCGAGTAGCTGAAATTTGGAGTTTTCAAACTCTGGCTCTGTGTTTAACCATCCCATTGCTCCCAGCACTCTGTATCCTGCAGGATGGAGCAGCCCTCTCCAAACAGGTGACCCCCATGAAGGCAGGAAACAGGTGAAAGAGGCAGAGCTCAGAAACCAAAATGAGGGTTTGTTTGGTAGCACTGGAGGTGTGGGTGCTGCCCAGGAGCTGAGGCTGGGGCTGGAGACCCCAGAAATCCCTTCTGGCTCCAACCGCCTGCTGGGGGCGTCACCACCTGATGGGCAGGGCATTTTTCATCGAGTCGGTGACAAATGGCTCTCAGTTGAGTAGAAAAATAGTTTATTGATTAGACAGCAGAGGTGTGGGCAGGGACTGTGCTGCTAATGAAGGGTTCTGCCAGCTGCTGCCTGCTCTGGCTGCTGGGGACAGGCAGAAGAGGGACTTGGCCACCCCTGGTCTGCTGCTCCTGTGAGGCACAAAACAAAGCCCTGGGGGGCAGAGCTTTGGGGAGCTCATCCCGCTCCCTCCTCTGGCTCCCTGCTGGGGCTCACTGCCCCTGTCCCTGAAAGTCAGCAGCACCCAGCTTCCAGGGATGTTGGTGATGGTCCCCCAGCTGCAGCAGGAACACTTTTGCAGGCCACCTCTTCAGCCTTTCCCTCTAACACTCCTTTCCATGCCTAACGTGAACCCAGCTCTAGCACAGCACTTCCTTAGTGCTTGATTTGGAGCAGGAGGCTGTCCCACTGAACCGGAGCACTCCTCTCACACCAAGCACGCTCACACGCTGCAGGGTGGGAACCCACAGCCGTTATCTGGGAAGACTGCATTTTTTTTTGAAGGACTTTGCCCTGAAAACAGCCTGGTTACCTTCTTTTCTTTTTTTTTTTTATTTTCTTTTTTTTCATCTTTAGCCATGGTGGTTTTATCCACAGAGCACCTTGAACAACCTGAGCATAATTAATCACAGTTTGCTTCCCTGTGTTCATATGGGATCCCTAATCCCCTGTAAATCCTGTGGGGAACAGATGCAATTATCAAAGAAGCGCTTATTAAAAAGAACTATATGTGCCATAAAAAAATGTCAGGACAATTGTCCTTTGGCTGTTTGCAGTGTTGCCAGCTGTGATATACGATCCCAGCTCTCCATCCCAGCTGTCTGCGTCCCCAGCGTGCTTTAGCGGTGGCTTGTGCCGGGTTCCTTGCGCAGCTGCAGAACTCCCTGAGCTCAGCTGCTCTTCTCCTCCCCAACCGTGCCCGTACCTATTTGTAACTCAGCGAGCAGCAGCCCATCAGAGCTGTGGACCTTCTGCAGTGAACACTGTTTTGGGGCTCTGCTGGATGAAGAGCTGCTTGGGGTCAGTACCTTCGAGACACGAGGAGAGGCATCCAAGGGGGACATTCTGCTTTGTCCAACTGGGCAAAGGAAGCCCAAGGAAGCTTTGGCCAAGCAGATGCTCTCCCCATGGCTCAGTTTCCACCTGTGAGGCTGGCAGAGTCACACCAGGCCATCCCGCAGGGACTTTGAAGGAGCAGCCCAGCAGCGCTCCAGGAAAGCTGCATGGTCGGGTGGCCCACAAATAACCCTTGTGCACAGGGCAGGGGTGGCTTATTCTGGAAGATCAGAGCAAAGCAGAGAGGTGCTGCTGCACACAGCAAGGATGTGCACGCTTGCTGAAAGCTCTACAGAATAAGGGGGTGCAGGACCTACAAAAACCTGAGAAATTGGTAAAAATATGCTCACACCTGTGAGGCTGCTGCTGACCTACGAGTCTCAAGGTAGCTTTTTTTGCGGGCAGGCAGCAGAGCCATGGGGAGGAGGAGGATGGGAGAGGCAGCAGGGCGGTTTGGCTCTAGCTCGTCACTCAGAGGAGGAAGGAGCAAAACACGGTTGGAAACCAGAGGAGCAATCAATGATTTGCTGTCAAATGAAAGGATGGATCGAGTGACTTTCTGCAGGAATCTGTCCTTGATCTAATAGGAGTCAGTATTTTCCCTAACGATCCAAATGATGGAATATTCACTGCTACATCCGCAGAGGGTCAAGATGGGAATTAGTGCTGCAATTGCAGAGAAGGAGATTTTTAATCATCTGGCAGTAAGGACAATTACGCGCTGGGACGTTTTGCCTGGGGAGGCTGCGGAGGCTCGGTGGTTACAGACTTTAAGAAGAATTTGGAGAAACCTCTCCCCAGAGTGATGGAGCTCACCCCGTAAGGCAGGGCTGACCCCCAAGGTCCTTTCCAGCCCTAATTTCTGTGATTCTGCATCATTGCAAAAGCAGAATCTCATCTACTGTGACTTTTAGGAAGAAGTACGAAAAGCACCGTGAAAGGCTGAAAATGTGATAGCTTTAGAAATAAAGCCTGTTGCTTTTATCTGCAAACATCTCAACGCATATGTCAACCCTGTTCTCCAAACCAAGCAGCAGAAAGGGAGCAGCCTGGCTTCCCAACCTCCTCCCTTGCAGATCTGCCAGAGATCTCGCTGGCTTCAATTTGGACAGCCTGGGCAGTAAGGTTTTACCACCGTGGAAAAGCTTTGGATTGCTAAAAGATATGAAATCTGAGCAATGGTATTTGTATGAAATGGGAATTAAAAAAAATATAAATCCATCAATTCCTCTGGCAAAGACAGCTGGGCATTTGGAGTGGTGGTGTTTGAAATGCAAAACGCACCTCATTGGAGAGTTGTTTCATGCCATTCATCTTCGGAGCGCGCTCTTACTGCTTGTTTGCAATGTGCAGCTATAAACCACGCTTTCTGAAAGTGCTCCGGCTGGCTCGGAGGTAAGCAAGAGGGAAGGATGCTAATATCAGACATTTCAATCCCCACTGCAGCCTGCATTGCTCAAAGCAAGATGACTTGCAAACATGTAGCCCAAATGAGGAAGATGAATCGTATGCAAGGTCAGGCTCAATGCCAGGAAACTGATAGAGGCAAAAGCGGTTAATTGCTTTAGATTCCAACAGCCCCAAAACGTGCCCTGCGTACAGACATCCCTGCCTCACGCAGCGATGGACCTCACCATCCAAACCAGCAAATAGAATAGGAAACGGAGGTGCTCGTCATGATTTTTAATGTCAGAATTAGATTCACTGTTGCCTTATGGTCTCTGTAATTACTAGACATCACTCATCGTTTTTCTCAGCTCAAGGGATACTCTGTTATTGACCTCACTGGGAAGATATAAATACATTACTGAGTGGAAATATCACCATTTGCCATTGTGGAAAGGTCTACACCACAGCTCAGAGGACCCTGAAATCTTTATTGCAGTGCACCTACAGCAGAGGACAATGCCTGATACTGGTGGTGCGATGGCCAAGTGCTTCTGCTGAGGCTTTAGGGGAGAAAAAACTATTACAGGGTATTAAAAGAGAGACACAACAGCAAGCCATGAGCCAAAAGGACCTTTCTACAGCCAAACAGATAAAAAATACCATGCTTGGGGGCATATTGGCCACGCTGGTCTCAAGCTGGTGGGGCCACAAAGACTTTGGGGAGAACGGTAGGGCATCAGAGAGCAAAGGGGTGTTATTTCCATGGGGGTGATCAGTGCTGAAAGCAGGGGGAAGCTGGTGAGGTGCTCTTGTGAAGCCATGCATGGAGCATGGTGGTGGTGGGATGCTCTCGGGAAGCCAAGCACCAGCTCTGTGGTGCACGGGTGGGTGCTCAGCCCGGAGGCCACCTATGCAAGGAGGTAGCTCACCAGTTTGTGCTGGACACCCCATGCCCACCCCAAGCCCCTGGTGCCCTGGAACATCTCTGAGCCATGAAAAAGAGCTTTGTGAGCGGGGGGTCAGCTGTCCTGGTGCATGGCACTTGCGTCCCTCCTCTTCCTCAGGCAGCCTCAGAGCAAACACCCGTGCAGGGACGGTCCATGCTCAGCAGGTCAGACCTTGTATGGGGCTGGCAGAGCTCTTCCCAGGTCTCCACGTGCTTTAAGGTGTCCCATAAAAAAAAAAGCCTCATCTGTTTTTAGGGGACGAGGCTGCTCACAGACCAGGCAGGGCAGTGGCACAGCAAGAATTGGATCTGCAGCCCCCATTGGTGTCTCATTTGGTTGGTGTTGCACTTTGATTGCTGCTGGGTTTGGGGGGATTGATAGATCTCAACCAGCTGTGGCTTCCTCTGAGCATCACCATCCCCATGAGCTTGCCTAAAGCAGCTCCCCAACCAGGAAAAGGAGACCTGATGGAAAGAAAATATAAAAAAAAAGAGATGGTGGCTCCCACCGCCTCCAGGTGACTTCCCGCCCCCGCTGTTAAAACACCGTCTTTATTTTGGGTTGGGGTGTGCTTGGCTCTTAAAACCTCCCCGTGCAGCTGGCTCGGTGTCCTTGCGGCACGAGGGGCAGCTGGGCCCCCAGATTACAGCCTCACTGCTCACAAGTGCTTGTTATAGCTCATCGAGCCACGGAGGTTTCTCTGCCTTCTATTTTGAGCCGAGCTCCCCTTGTGTTTATTTACAGTCACCCGAGCAGCTTGTAGCTGTTGGAGTTGAAGAAAATTGCTGTGAAAGGGAGGAAATTGGCTTCTCACCTTACAGGAGCCAGAGGAGCTCCTGGGATGTATCTTGGGGGCGTGAAGGAGTGGAGAAGCCACCCCCGGGTGGTTCCTGCAGCTCCGGCTGTCCCCAGCCAAGTCCCTCCAAAGAGCACAAATGTGCAAGTGTCTGTGCAGCCTCTCGCTCTGGACCTCCTGTAAATGTCATGCCCATGTCTGTAAGTGGCCTAACATATTGAAGATCAGGCAGCGAGGGGAGGGAAGATGACCTTTTGCATTTTGCCCGGAGCAGACGAGGGTAATGGGATTATAATTCCATGTAATTCATCTTCTGACACCGTGCGATCACCAAACTCCGCTCGGCCGGGGATGGAGCGAGGCAGGCGGCCCCGAGCGCTGCTCCCAGGCACGGTCCCCAGCTGGGACAGCATCCCCGAGCCCTCGCAGGGCTCATCTGTGCCAAAAGCATCCCCGCTGCGCCCCAGGTGCAGATGGAGCTGCTCCTTCTGGCGGGAGGCTCAGAGCTGCTGCACGTGGAGGCCAGCAGCGAAAACACTTCCCAGCCTGGGGGAGCAGCTGGCACGGCCAGGGCAGCTCGCTCCAGAGCCTCAATCTGCTCCCCTGCCTTCCTGCTGCCAGACCGCTTTGTGCTTTTTGGGGTCGCACCCGGCACAAAGCCTCTTTCTGGCAGCACAAGGTCTGCACCCCAAATGCTGGTGCTGGGAGTGTAGAGAACCCCACCCCACTCTTTCTGCCCCAAATGATGCTTTTGCCCTGTCCAAGCACACTGCACCCAAAGCCTGTGCTGCCAGGCTGCTGTTAATTAGCTCCTTGTTAATTTGCTTCCCTGGATCCCCAGCTCCTGTGGGCTGGCTGGGGGAGCTGTGTCCGCAGGGCGTTTGGGCAGCAGAGCGGGTGATGCTTTCGGAGAGCTACACCTGCTTAAAGGCTGCTGCCGCCGCCTGGCATTTATTTTCCATCACTGATTACATTCTGCTAGTCAGAGATTTTATCCCAGAGAAATCCTCCAGGAACTCCTAATAGTGGAGTCAATCTTCATAAAACCTGGGGCGGTAAACCAGGAGACCTCACTTTGCTGCAGGTCTGGTCTGTGGGTGCGGGGCTCCCAGTTCCCGCCAGCCCCGGTACCTTGCAGCACCCAGTAGGAGTCATTAAATATTTATTTGAAAGGGTTTTTGCTCCTGAGTGGTGAAATAGAAACCAAAGATTAAATGGCTTGGCTAATACGAGCAGTTTGGAGGAGAGCGAGCTGTGCCGGGCACCGCTGGCATCTGGATGCTGCACGCTCCTGCATCCCTCTGGGGGAAATCCTGAGGCAGATTCAGATAAATTAAGCTCGGGTTTCTGTTACTGGGTAAATGTTGGGTGATGCCGTCGGTGTGGCTCCCTTGGCGTTTCTTCCCCTGGCAGCCCGTTTGTTTGTTGTATTCCCTGTGGGTGGCTGCAGCACCCACAGCACAAAGCGCTCGTGGCAGTGGGACAGGGTGCTGGGTGGTCTGACCCATGGCAGGAGCTGCAGGTGGGCTCCCCAAATCGCCAGCAAGGGAAGCAGATGGCCACGACTGCTCGTGGCTTGCCAGCAGTGAGTTTTGGATCTGAAATCTCATGATGCCAAAAGGGGCGAGGGTTTTGCTGAGCCTCCTCTGCTATAGCAAGTCTGGAGGACGAGGCAGGGGTGCTGCTTAGGGGGCTTCATCGCCACACCTGCTGCTCTCTGGATTTGCAAGGCCCAGAAAAATGACCCAGTGCAGGCAGTGCAAAGGAAACCCCTTCATCAGCGGGGCTGTGTGGGCAGCGGCGCGCTCGGCAAAGCCTCAGTCAATGAAAGCGATCTCATAAACACCAGCCTCGAATTCATCTCCCTCGTCCTGCCCTGCGTGCTTCCCTCAGATCCTTCTCGGCAGTCATCTCAGAGCCCTGGTAGATGCATCTTATCTTTCTAAAACTCACCCCGACCTTGGGCAGATGAAGCTAACTTTCCCTGCGCTGAGACATCGGTCTTGGGTGACGAGCGGCAGGACGTGAGGAAATGGCACCAACTTGCACCAGGGGAGGCCCAGAGCAGGCCTCAGGCAGAATTTGGTCCTGCAGAGGGTGGCTGAGTGCTGGGACGGGCTGCCCGGGGCACTGGGGGGGTCCCCACCCCAGGAGTGTGTAAGGGACGTGTGGATGTGGTGCTTGGGGACACGGCTCAGTGGGGGCACGCGGTCAGGGGTGGCTGGGCCTGGTGAGCCCACAGCTCTCCTCCAGCCTGGGGGAGTCCGTCAGTCTGTTCTCCAGTTTTCTCTACCAACATCAGGATGGTCCAGCCTCACCAACTCTCTTCTTCCTGCATTAAAAATCCTTCTGTGGTTTCTCCACCTCTTTAAACAAGGCACGTGGGGGCTCTCCCCAGCTTCCTCCAGCCTCCCCATGGCCACATCCCCCAGGGGCAGCGAGTGTCTGGGTGAGCTGGGCTGTGCTGGTGAGCTGGTGTGGCTGCTGTGAGCCTTCATTTCCCCTAGGAAAGCTCACAGAGGTGCCTTGGCGTTGGGATGGGCCACATGGACTGACTTTGAGGACTGACTTTGCCACCAGCAGGTCAGAAAGCAGCCGCCCCATCCCATGTGCTAGGACCGAGGGCCGCTGTGTCCCTCATGGCTGCTACAGCTTTCACAAAGCTTCCTCTTTTCCACCTCACTGCCGACACCTGAACTAGTTTGCAATTCCAAATCCGTTTCGAATCCTAACATTTTTTTCTGAATTATTTTTGGTTTTGGAGCAGGCTGAAGGGGAAAGCATAACAGTTAAAACAACACGGCGCCTCCCAGATATGGATTGAATATAATACCTACACCATTATATCAGGAAAGAAAGCGTCCCGCTTGTTTTGGAAGCATAGATTTTTCTGTGATGGATGGGAAGGTGTTTTTCCGGTCGATGCTATTTAATTACGCTACAAAGCATTAAGGAGCTGAGCTGCCATCCCTGCCTCCCGCGGCTCGCTGGCAAGGCCTGGGACCCATGCGGGCAGTCCCAAAATCCTGCTGTCCATGGCTCCTGATGAGTGTGCCCTGGTTTGGGTTGGCTTCCCGGGGGCTTGGTGCTGCCCTCCCCCTGCCTGCTCACAAGCACACCGTGGTGTGATTTGTCCAATTTTCACAGAGTCACGGGGCAGTTTGGGCTGGAAGGGACCCTAAAGCCCACCCAGTGCCCACCCCTGGCACAGCACCTCCCTGGAGCCCCGTCCAGCCTGGCCTCGGGCACTGCCGGGGCTGGGGCACCCACAGCTCCTGGGGGCAGCCTGCGCCAGGGCCTCACACCCCCAAATTTCCCTCATTATCAGGAGAAGTCCCCCAAAGCCGCCAACCTGGAGGACCAGAGGGTGAAGCCCACCTGGCGCGTGCTGAAAGCCGAAGGGCGCTTTGGATGTGGCAGAACATTTACATTCAGGAGTCTTCCAGAGGTTGGGGATTTATCTGCATCCTGGGAGGGAGCCTTATTAGTGGCTTTTGGGTACACGGCTCCTGAATAATGAGGACAATCCTGTCTTGGGAAGATAAATCCCAGTATAATGATGCCATTGTCTTTCCTTATTGTAACTCTCTGTCAGCACCTCATTTAACTGCTGTTTTACCCAAAGATTTTGACAGCCTGCTTTAGCACAGGAAGGATAACACAATGCTTCTTAATTGCCACCAAATCTAAAATTAGTCCCTTCTGTGGCTCACGGGTGAGCACGCGGCCCTTTGGGGACAAAGGGCTGAGCGTGGAGGGCTGGCTTCCCAGCCCGGCTCCAGATGGGCACAGGACAGCCTGTAAACGCAGATTTTGCCCCAAAGTGTACATGTTGAGGAGGAAGAGCAGCGAGGAGAAGGGAGGAAGGTCTGGGGGAGGCAGGGAATGCAGGATGCGTGCAGACATGCTCCGCTGGATGCCCCATTCCCCTTCCTTCCACCTGAGTGCTCAATGCTCTGCAACTTCTCCTACAATTATAGCATGAGAGCTCACGGCTGGGAGCAGTGCTGCTTGGAAAGAAATTTGCCACATTTTGAACATGTTTTTCTGTCCTGATGTGCCCGGGGACTGGGCTGCGTGGGCGGCTGGGGGGTCACTACCAGCCTGGGTCAGGTACCACCGGGACGCAGAGGGAGCTGGAGATGGATGTGTCGTGAGAGCATTTTCTGGCGAGGATCTGAGCAATTTGAGCTAGCTGCCATGGCCAGGGTGGGTTGGAAGTTTCCTGATGAGTCTCTTTGTCTGTCGGAAATTGGGCTGGGGAGCGGAGGAAGGCGCAGAATAGCAAAGCAGGCTGTGTCTGTTGGAAATCCACCAGGGCAGAATCAAAACAGAGCCAAAGCTCCATCACCCCGTGGCATGGGTGACCCGTGCGCTGCCTCCCCGAGCACAGTTTGTCATCGTCGTGTCTGTAATGATCTTGGCATTCAAGGGGGCTGGAGCGGGACACAGGGAGGGTAGGGATGCAGGGATACCCAGCACCACAGCTCTTTTCTGTGCTTACTGCGTTCTTCTGTCAGTGCTTCCATTCACCTGTTTTTTCCCCAGGGACCGGTGTGCCCATGGGGGGAGCTACCTGGCTGCTCGGTGCTAACTGAGGTCGGGGTCCAAGCCTTGCTGAACCTCTGGGAAGGTGCTGTGGGAGTTGCGTGCTTTGGACTGAGACAGGCATTGGCTAAAGGGAGGTCCCTTTGGAGTCTGAGCTGCCTTTTGTATTTATTGCAGCTCTGGTGCTTTCAAATCCCTTCCAAGAGCAGGTTTTTCTGCTTGTGATCCACGTTTAGCAGGGACAGGGGATCAGCAAACAGCCTCGTGGCCAGGAGCCGGCAGCGTGGAGAAGTTTGTCCTCAGGATGCGGGAGCAGCCAGGAGGTTCGTCCTGGCTCTCTCCCCTGTGCTGTGATGCTCCGTGGATATTGTAAGAACGAACGTGGTTATGGCCTGAAATAGAAAGCTCATTTATTTATGAGGCTGTTTGATTTCCTCTGAAATGCCTCATCTAGCAGCCCCTCTCCATTAGAAACCCTCTGAAGCTATGCGAGAGAAAGCCATATCTTATTATTTAAATTAATAAAGCAGCTGCAAATTTTTGCTTCATTTTTAAAATACGGCAATAGAAAATATCCTTCCATGGACCATTTTTCCTGTGGTTTTCTTCCTGAATATTCCTAATTATGGCCATAATTAATTTTAACGAGTCACCCACCATCAATTCCACAGTAATTTGTAAGTGTCCTGCTGCCGGCTTTAAGAAAAAAATGCAAAGCAACTCCCTCCTTCGGCTGCCTCTTTAGTGAAAGCAGGGATCACTTAAGGAATTGGCACTTGGCCCCAGCGATGCAAAATTGCCTGGTCCTCGGTCAGAGCTGGTCCTGTCTGCCCGCTGATGGATGGCATCATTCAGAGCTTTTATAGGCTCAGCGAAAGAGGCCAATCTGTCCGCACTGATAAATCTAAATCTTGTATAATATTTCATAGCCCTACCAGACTTGTGTAGGGAGCCAACGTGATGCCGCGGCGTCCTGGGGAAACAGCTCCTCCGAGGCCAGTGGTCAACAGCGGAGTCCTCAGATGGACTTTGGCCTCTGGGGACGGGGGTGGGAAGGTCTGGGTGGAGGAGGTGGCTGGAGAAAGGAGGAGCGAGGTGCTGTGGGGTCCTGTCTCCACCTCCTGGAGGAGGATAATGTCAGGTATCTATACCACAGGAGCTCCCAGCTGCTCCTGGGCACCCAGCAGTGTGGGAGCCTCCTGCTGGGGATGTCACTCGTGGGGTCCTGGATCTGTTCCTGATGTCCCCAAGAGGGTCCTGCTCCCCTGGAGGTACCCAGCGTGAGCTGGGCAGCATCAGCTGAGCATCCTCTTGGGGCCCTGCAGCCGAATCCAAGGCTTGGAGGCCAGGAAGCTTATTCCTTGGGAATTTGAGATGCCAGGGATCTGAGCACCCCTTACAGCAGCCGGGCATCTGTACTCCTTACAAGCCCTGGGAAATCACCTCTCACTGGGTTTTTGTCTGCAGCAGCTGCAGCGAGGATGCTGCTAATGCCTGGGGAGAGCCGGCAGATCCACCCAGGCTGGCAAAGAGCAGCACACAGAGGGCTCAGAAGCTCTGACTGTCCTCAGCATCCAAGGGACTGGCTTGAAAATTGTGGCAGTGCTGTAACAGGATTTATTTTTGAGGTTTTTATTTCTTTCTAGTCTTAATCTCCTTTGTGACTGAGGGGAGGGAAGTGTACTAAGAACATCCAATCTCCCGAGGTGCCCGTGAGGATACAAAAGGTGTCTGTTCTTTACATATGCAAGGTGCAGCGATGATAGCTTGAAACGTGGAAAAGCCACGTTTCCTCTTTACTGCAACTTTAACTGGAGAAATATGGGCCGGCCAGCAGCTGCAGCAGCCGTTTTATCCTCCAATTTACTGCTCTCACTTCCAGCCTGTCCCTGAGAGCCCGGCTCCCTTTGTACCACTTTTCTATTAGTGCTTTTTATTTGTGGCCAGGAGGCAGGGCCGAGCCGCGAGCCAGCGCTTTGTGTTCGCCCTGCAAAGGATCCTCGCTCCTGGAGCCGGGCATCGCTGCCACCCCAGTGCTGAGCCTGCAGGGGATGGGGGTGGGAAGGGGAAGGGATGGAGAGCCTGGGGGCTTGGGATGCTCCTGCTCCACCTCTCCCAACCCCTGCATCACATCCAAGGGAGCCTGATCCTGCAGCCAGTTCCCCCATGGGCAGCCAAGCTGTATTTTTTTGCCAGGTTATGCTGCCAGGAGCAGGGTTGGAGCCATGAGAAGTTTTCTGTTTCAAGAGCAGGTCAAGGAGAGCAAGCAAGTGCCTCAGTTTCCCCCTTTGGCAGCTGGCACAGTGACATGGGGGTGCCTTGGACTGGCAGCCGGTGGCACCGATGGTGTTTGCCCACTGCTGTGGGGATTGTGCAGTCTGCAGCCCACCTTCCCTGGAGAGCTCGTCCATTCCTGCAGCAGATGCTGTGTGCAGGGTGCTTCCCCTGTCCTCAGAGATGCTCAGAGCACCCAGGTTAGGGACCATGGGGATGCCTGGTGCTGCTCAGCCCCTCGGGCAGGGAGCAGCCCCTGCCTTTGGACCAGCTCCACTTGAGGTTGCGGAGGTGCCAAACCCACCTCTGAGCATCACGTCCCAGCCCTGGCACAGCCAGGGTCTTCCAGCTCCTACTGCTGCTTCCTCTGGCTGCATTCCCAGTCCTCCCAGTCCCCAGAGAACAAACCCAGCCGAAGTCGCCTTGTGCTCGGCTGAAGGCACTTAATCACTGCCTCGGTGTGATGGAAATACGAGCTACTCCTGTGCCAGTCAGGACACGCTCTTCTTGCACAGCCGAAGATGAGCAAGGAGCCATCCGAGCATGAAATAGTTGTCAGGCTTCCAGAGGGTCACAAGATATATGGATTATGAAGTGAAGACTCCCACAGATCTCAGATTATCAAATATAAAGACTGCAGGAGAAGATTGCTTCGGCTCGTTGGATGGCAGGCGCACTGCCCTGCGCTCAGAGCTGGGCTGGAGCACAAGGGCGTGTGGTCCACAGGCTGCCTGGGTCCATGGGACTCTCATAAACTTCGGATTTTCCCCAGATTTAGCTGGTCCCATGCAGAGCATGCACATCTCGGTCATCAGAATTACCTTGTGCTGTTTCTATCTCAAGCTCCCAGGAACAGGCAGGCTTTATTCCCATGCTACGTGGAGCAGAAGCCATCTAGAGGTTAGAGCACTCGAGGAGCTGGAGATCGAGATTAAAGAGGACACTTAAGGCAGGGTGAAGAGGAACTAATGGGATTAGCCACACTGGGTCTCGTCT